TCTTCCATCTCTTCTCTCAACCTGCCTAGCTACCTACCTAGCTAGCTACCTACCGCTAATCAACGACATGTTAATCTCTCTCGGATTCGAGATCAAAAACCAAAAACCAAAAATCAAAAAAAAAAAAAAAAAGGAAAAAGGAAATGAGCGATCCTTGTGACGGCCCCCCTGTTTCCTGCCCAACCCAAGCTTTATCTTTCAGAAAAGCCGTTCGTTTACCTTCTTTCATGGCTGACTGACTAGACAAGACCCTTTTCTTGGGATGTGGGGTGCGCGTGCCATGGAAGCGGAAATGGGATAGTTAGGGGGGGAGGGTTGTAAAAAGTAAAACTGATGACAATCAAGAGGAGACTTTTTCGTCCATGATAAAGCTTCGTCTGTGATTGCGCGGAGGTCTTGAGAGATAAACTAGGGTCGAAATGATCAGGTGCTCGATGGAATATGGACAATCTCTGTATGTGCGAAGAAGGTATATGACAGCCTATTGGTGAGTTTTGCACCAGCCAAGCAACCTAATCCGGATAACGGCTTTTACGGGAGGAGGTGTGAGTGAAAACGATTTTGGCAAAGAAAAGAGCTGTGAAAAGGCGTTGGTTGGTTAAAGGCCATCCATTTTTCAATTCTAGTCCACCCCCTCCACCCCCTCCACTTGCCTCCCTTCTTTCTCTCCTCACTAAACGCCCTCCTCCCCTCCCCTCCCAAGTCCAAGTCCGAGTCCAAGTCCCAGGTCCAAGTCCAAACTGATTTTTTCCAATTCTCCAATCATACCTTACCCTACCCTACCTACCCTACGTATATAAACCGAAAAGAGATTCAGAATCTCGAAAAGAACGAAAAAAAACCCCCCCCAAATTTTGCACATCCAGTCATTCGTAGTCAAATGAAACGCCTGCCCCGCCATTTAATGCACAAAGCGACGTTCTATATATAGCGTTAAATGCTCCATACAGGGAAAGACAGGTATGCGGCTGCGAGAGCGGAAAAACACGGTATGCAGACAGACAGGCAAAAACAGCAACTGGTGGTATAAATCAAGGTGTGTGGAAACTTCGAGCGGAGCTGATATAGCAAGGGTATCAGAAATAGCACAATTGTGTTCGATTGGTGGAGGTAGTGATGGAGGCGAGGTCTTGTAATGGGTGGTACTGGGTACCGCTACCGGATATTCGAGATAGCGGCAGGGCTTGAGGATTTCGTGTCGTGGCATCGTCAAACGTTTCGTTTGGGTTAATGTATGTGTGTTTGTCATCGTCGCATGGGTGTCGTGTAAACGTAATTGGTCAGAGAAAGCCAGACTCAGCTAGAACCCTATAGTTTCCCAACTTGGTAAGCACAATTCTTCCCACCGAACTCATAATGCGCGACTCGACATTCTCATATCACGCTTTGGACGGCTTCAAATCTTCGAGGAGCCGCTATAAATCGACATATCCCGCAATCTAAACATACCTGACAATCTTCTCGTCTTCTCTTTCCCTTGGCTCAACTGCCAAACTCTTCTCGTACATCTCGTGCACGTCGCCCGCTGCTTGCATATTGGTCAAGATGTAATCCTGGAGCTCGGTAACTGATTGCAAAGGGTAGGGCACATTCTGGTATTGCTGGATGTCGCGGATGACTTCTGCCGTCTTGGCGCGTTTGGCGAAGTTAATCAGGGTGGATTTTTTGATGATGGAGGGAATACCGTCTTCGATGAAGGTTAGGTCGGTGAGGTAAACACCTAGTCGAGTTAGCACACGGGGTGGCCATTCGATGGACTACATACCGAAAAACGGAATACAAGGCGGGTTGGCAAGATGCAAGCTCTCTCTGTATTCCCCAAAGTTCTTGGTGCTGCCCATCAATTTGCGCATCGTCTCCAGGATAGCCAACGTTTTGGCTGGTACTTGGTCCCATGTTCGCTTCAATCGATGGATGGGTGCTGTGCCGAGGGCAGAGATGATGGAGGTCAGTGTGGAGAAGTTGTTCAGTAGCCGACATTTCTGTTAATCGTTAGTATATCGGGTAATTGCGGGTAAAAGTTGGCGGAGCAGCTTACATCGGCTACGAGAACGAAGTGCTTGATGACCACAACACGTTTCTTCACATCCAGCTGAGTGAGAATCATTTCGGCTACCCAGTTGGTCAACTGGTTCGAATGTAAGATGAGAGCCTTGACATTTGGCGCTGGCTCTGGGTCGTTTTCGCCAACCTTCTTCTGCCAAGTCTTGTTCAGACATTCCGTGGGCTTAATTTTACCGTAGAGCTTTGACTCGACAATGGTAAGTTGGCGAGCAAACTCAGTGACATCTATGTCCAAGAACTTGAGCTTCTTCATGTGCTTGGGCATGATAGGCTGAGGTGTCGATTGGTTCAATGTCAGAACAAGACGTTTGGCCGTTGTATCTTGCCCACGCAATCGCTGCTCCAGAACCGCCATTAGAGGACCCGATCCAGGTGTCTCTGTTGTCTTGACGGTGTCTCTCGCAAATGTGTAGACATCGCGAATAAGTGCCTTGGTCTCGTCGCTCTGGTCCTCCATCCAGAAATTGTCAAACCAACTCTTGAGGATATTCACGACCCGAAATCTGATGGGTTTTTGTTTACGGTCTCTCCAGATTTCGTAGTCCGACTGTATCAAACCATCGGGTGGTTGGATCTGGAACCGCTTGACCAGCATCTCGAAAAGTTCCCGAGCGGTGGTAAAAGACCTATATGTCAACAAAAAGGTGTTGTTGAAACTGGATTCCAGCTTGTCGTGACGAGTCAGTTGCTCAACAAGTGCAAGGAGGGTACCGCCCTTCAGCTGCGGAGGTGTGGTCTTCGTATCATAGGATATATCGTCTTCGTGGTCCAGTTTGAGGCAATCAGGGGTTTCGTCCTGCTGCGGCTGGCCAGGATCACGCCCGGGTTCTTCTCCAAAGAATTTCCTGACTTTCGAGTTTTCTCCATTGCGATAGGTCGGAGTGGTGTCCCCTACCGAATAAGAGTGAGATTGAGCGATCCCAGCTAGCCCTGGCCTCAACAGGGTAACGCGGGAATCGGTACGGTGATGCGAGCGCTCAAACGACATGCTTTCAACTCTTCGTGGCGTCTCGCCTGTCCTCAAGTCATCTCTCGGGGGTGGAGGTGGTGCTTCTTGGTCTTGAGGAGAAACGAGCTGTACTTGTTCTCCAAGTAGTTGTAACGAAAAGCAAATATGGGATGCATTGACTTCCAGCTGCTTCGCACACAGCCTCACATAATTGAGTCTAGATTCGAGTGATTCGCCGCGGACCTCAGCCCACTCATCTCCCAACGGCCCCGCAACTGCTTGACACGCTAGAATGAGGTCCGAGGTATTGTCATACAAGCTCTGCTTTTGCTGTGAAAAGTCGATCAGCGAAGGGTTTTGGACGCTGCTGGCTAGAGACGAGAGGTTGATAGATTCAACGGTTGAGATCCATGGCTTGAATACATCCAAAACTTTTTTGGCCGTTATGCAAATATTGTCACCGATGAGTTCGTGTGTGTACGGAGTGATAATCTTCTCCGTGACCACAAGCTGCTCTTCCAATTTCCGTATACTCAAGGTCAGCGATCGCTTAAGATCATCAAGACGCTCCATCGAATCAGCATTCAAGGGAGCGGAAGGCTCAGCCGGTCCCTCGTCTTCATCCATAAAATTTGAAGTCAATGGATCTCGACAGCTGAGGCCGTTGTTTTGCCAGCTCCCACCAGTCGTACTTCCGATCACGAAGCCTGGCAGTAACCTTGGGATGTCTTCTCCTCTTTGTTGTCGGGCAACCTCGACGTAGCTGAAGACACCCTGCAAAACGCCATCTGCCTCCTGCAGACACTTCAGATACGACTCCGCATTTGGCCAATCTGCCGCAGCAATATGTGAAGAGATGACCAGCTTCGAGAACTTTGACATCATGTCCCGAAAATGAGGATACAAGGCTTTGTTGGTGGATATGATGGATGGCTGGCCAGAGTGATTATCTGTTGTACCGGATCCAGCCGCAAGAAGGAGGCGCAGATGATCCGATATATCCTCCGCTCGGCGCACAAATTCCGACCGATAGTTTTGGTTGATTGCTTCCCGGTACCGGTCCACCGCCTTCTTCATGCTAGCTACTATTCTGTTCCAAGTTAATGGTGCAGCTGAGCCGTCGGTGAAGAAAGATCGGGGTAAGGTCGCGGGATGGGGATGATTCGAGGAGTTGAGAGACGGGTTCGTGAAGGAGGTGGTAGAGGGACCCATGATTGGCATTGCGGTGATGATGGACAAATTGGGATTTACGAAGGAGTCCCCAGTTCGCGGCTGCGAGACGGATGAGGCATTCATTGAGTCCATCGAGGGTGCAGGAGAGATCCCCTGCGATTCGAGGGACTGCCGTTTTCCAGGCTGCCACAATGGCGTTAGCATAAAGAAAAAATGTTTGAAAGTGTCAGACCTACGAAGTAGGAGCTTTCGGCTGCGAGCATCAGGCTTTCTCCCTCAAGTTCCGAAGCAGAATTCCCATCCGACTCATCTTCCTCATCCTGCATGTATCCTCTTGCCATCAGCTCGGGTGGTGGTCGCGTCTTCTCAGGAATGTTGACATTCATCCGGTCGCGAGGTCCATTCTCCGTGGCTGAAGACGGCGATTCCAGAGGAAGCTCCATACTACTCTCCCCCGTCTCCGTGTTGAAATAAAACAGCCTACCATCCGGAGTAGCTTGCGGTATCCAGAAATCGGCTCTTGTCCGTTCATCGTTGCTCGCGGGAAGCCGTGTCACCTCGTCTCTTTCTGACTCGGCAGATTCCTCTTCATACTGGTCCTCGGACTCCTCGGCAGACCCTTCTCTCTCCTCTCCATTGTCGTCCTCCAGCTCTCCCGCGGTACCGTTCTGCTTGCATTCCTGCGCGTCTTCCGGACTCGTAATCACCTGGCAGTAATTGCTAGGAAACCAGCCTCGTACCCCGTTGATGACGCCATCCCACCAGCCGCTTTCCAGCTGGGTGATGACCTGGATGAGATCTCCTTCGTGGAAGCTCAAGCTCGTCCGGTCGTCAGCCTCGTAGTCGTACAGCGCTCGTACGAACATGACGGACTGCGGCACGGTCCCCATTAAACCGTTCATCAGAGGCGGCGATATGCGCTTCGCAGCTCTCGACTGGGCTGCGGATTGTCCTTTGGAAGAAGGCGAGCACTGGCTGGAGGCAGAGCGAGGAGAGGAAGGGGTTCGCGCCGGACTCTGTTCGGTGTCCTGTCCCACGGGTTTGGCGATGTGGGAGCCGGGGATACAGTTGTCGAACGATTGGGTATTCTGTAGATCTGGAAATATGCCGTTGCCGCTGGTACGAAGTGTCATGAGCATCGTGATGTTGGGTCTGCCGGCAACATGGGTGGGGGGGTTAATTCATCTTGGAGGCCAGCAGCGTTGTGGGTGGGTTGTCTGGATTGCTATGGGTATGGGTAGGGATATGAATATGGGGTTATCGTCTTCGCGCTCGAGTCGTGTCGTAAGCTTTGGTATCGTACCGTATCGTGGTATCGTTCGGATCGGAGCAGGGAGTGCAGAACGAACGTCTTTCGCACCGTCGCAGACCCGAACGCCGTCGAGGGCTCGGGGAGGGGGGAGTTCGAGGTCGGGGTCGAGGTCGGGGTCGGGGTCGGGGTCGAGATCGGGGTCGGGTTCGAGGTCGAGGTCGAGGTCGAGGTCGAGGTCGAGGTCGAGGTCGAGGTCGAGGTCGAGGTCGAGGTCGAGGTCGAGGTCGAGAAAAGTCACCTCTGCTATACTGGGAATTGTTGTAGTTGGAGGTTGTGAGTGGTCAGGGGCTTTGGGTCGTGAGATGGGGGGCGGGTAAAGAGCATGGAGAGCTTCCAATTCGCCGAGGATTGGCTGCTGGTGCTGCTGCTGCTGTTGTTGCCGTCACAGTCACATCCGCTCACCAAAGTTGAGCAGACTAGCCGGCGCCCGCTGATTTGTTGCCGTGGACTGGACGGGCGAAGTATGTGGGGGGTGTGTGCGTGTGTTTGTGCGTGTGTGTGTGTGCGTTCGGTATCTTCCTGGGAGGAGGAGGACGACGAGGAGGAGGACGAGGAGGAGGAGGGGTGTTGCTGGAGGTGGTAAAAGGAGGGGAGGTTGTGTAATAATGTACCGGACTCCGGGCGTGTCAATGCCACAACACTTCTGACTCGCAGGACAGGGCAGAGCTGGGTGTACTCGGACAGCAGAAATAGGCCCGGCTGAAAGACCACGGGGAAATCCAGATCAAGCAAAAGAGAAAGCCGAGGATCGTCAATGTACCGGTATACAACGAGAGGGAGCGTGGGGTGGACTGGGAACGGGTATGGATTGGTGCTTGTTGATCAGGTACAGGTACTACCGTACCGTCCTACGCTAGGGGATGGGGGCGACGAAACGACCGACATTTTGACGGCGTCAATGATTGGCGATTGGCGATTGGCGATTGGCGACTGGCGACTGGCGACTGGCGACTGGCGACTGGCTGATCCAGAACATGTGTTTTAATCTCAATCTGAATCTCAATCTCCATCTCAATCTCCATCTCAATCTCCATCTCAATCTCCATCTCAATCTCAATATGTATAGTACTTCACGTTTTGACCCTCGAGAGGAGAGCACTATGGCCCGCCAAGTCACGTTGCCAACCGCCTCCGTTGGTTACATACCGGTAGCATAACCCATCGTAGATACACTTGGATCCAGCCAGCTTGCTAATAGCTAACAAAAAAATCGAACTCAAGCATCGAGTGGCTCCAGCTACCCATCGAATCTACGGACTCCTGCAGGTCCTCACTTCAGCTACTTCCGTAGCACCAGATCCCACGGGCCAGCTCTCAGCGTGTCCGTCAACCTCATCACCACCATACCATATTCAACGGGTCAGCCTTGAGTCGAGACTCGCTCAGACCGCGCATCCGTATGAGACAGACCAGTTCGCAAGGTCGGGAAGCCGAGTATGGACGACGAGGACGAGGACGAGAACGGGAGCCAGACCGAGACTTCGCAGCTGAACGGTCACGATCCACGAGCCTCTCTGCGCACGGTCCTGGGTCCTGCTTCCCGTCCCCCCCCCACGGGCAAAGCAGCCCATCTCCCTTATCTAGTTATCGAGAAAACACCACGACTCTGAGACTTCTACGCGATAGGAATAGACGAGATAGGGGCTTGGAACTATTTGCGTGAGAGAAAAAGAAAAGAAAAGGATTGAAAAGGAGCCAGTGAGAAACACGGAGAGTAAGAGGAGGAAGACGAAAGACATCTTGTCAACCAAAATAGCGCAGAAGGATCCAGATCTGAAACAGGAGGAGACATATATACCGTTAATAGCAGCATATCATAAATACGTAGTAGCGTGTGATCTGGAAACGTCACTTGACGGAGTCGGTCTTGGATATTTATAGATTGTCAGTCAAGAAATAAATGCACGTCATACATTCGGATTCTCCTATGAACTCCCCCGAGTATACGGGAGGCATATATCAAGATCAATCCAAAAACAAAAAAAAAACAAAAAAAAAAAGAAACCAAACCCCCTTCCCCCCCCCCAAATGCCCAATCAAGAAAATACTCCGTAAAAGAAAAGAAGAAAAAGAAAGAAGAAAGAAGAAAGAAGAACCACATGCACTTCTCTTCCCAGCTTGGCCGTACTCCGTACAACAGACAGCAAACAAGCTTCGCTATCGCAAGGTCAACCGTTCTCCGTCTAGAAAGCATTGTTTTGTTGGTTCTGTTCGTCTAAACTGCCCGACCAAGGAAGTCATGTCCGCTGCAGATTTAGGCAGACAGGCAAGCAAACAGACAGCTACACTTCAAAGCAGGTGGGATCTATGTCGTCATAGTCTACTTAACCAGTATCACTTGATCTCGTCCATATGCGGTACCGGTGCGGGATAGGCCGTAAGTGGGTGCATCTGAGCTGTCACCTGGATTAATACTACCCGGCCGTCCTTAAGTCTCAAGCTATCCAAGGCTTAGTTACACCGGTCTGTATGTTTTATCTTATCATATTATAACATATCAAGTACAAGTGTAACAGATGTAATATAATATTATATCATATTATATATCAAATCATATAGGTACCCCTCCTTTCCCTACTTGGATACTATCCCGCAGCGGCTCCCAATCGGGCAGCTGCAAGCTAAAAAGATAAACGAACGGGTTGTCCCGTTGGATATATTGGAAAAAAAAAAAAGAAAACATGACGCGGGCCGGGCCCACCTCCTTTTCCCGCTGCACCTCGTGGTACCATAGCCCTACAGTACTATTACTTATTTGCTTTGCTTGTTTATGTCTTGTCCGCTCACCTATACGCAGTACCCCTCTCCCCCTCTTCGCTCCTCACACTCCAATCCAATCCAAATCCAAATCCACTCTCGAAGAGAGGACCTTCCTTCCCAGTATCTTAGGCTGTTAGCATTGAACCTAATCTAATCCAATCCAAACCTACCAACAGTCACACACTTCCTCCCCCCCCCCACCCCTACTTTCCATCATGAAGTCATTCCATGATATCTTCCCCGAAAATACGCATCAACTTTATCAAGCAAGCCAAACAGTCAGCACCTCGCCGCCACACCGGCCAGCAGCTAGGCCCATCTACTCGCTTACTCGTAGTCGTACATTGACTCTGTCCACCAATATGCGACGTTTCAATCTATCGGTAGCTACAAAATATGAGTGTCGAAAGAGCGAATGCTGTCGGGATGCATTCTTCGCTTCGGGACGGGAATCTTTCCCGCGCGCGCGGCAATGACCACCACCTACCTACCGACCTACTCGTGCGGCCAGCATAGCTGCTGTCCTCCATGTCGAAAGTCATACCCAATATAGAGAGAGATGTATGCCCAGCCAACTACTTACTACTCCAAGCGTTGAAATCTCTATCGGTAAATTAGAAAGGCCGACGCATGGGGGTGGATATCATGCGGGCCGCACGAGTATCTACCTACTTACCTACCTAACGATGCCTGGTTGGTCCTGTATTGTAACTATCGTGGCATCGCTTCTGCTGCTACCACTGTTATGATGGAGCAGATCCAAGGACCGGGGGTTAGGTAGGATAAAGCCCTTACCCCGTGCACAAATAAGGACTAGATCACCTGTCAAGTGTTAAGCGAGGGATGTGACAGATAGGGAAGGTATGTATGTTTGGTACTAACGTTATATAACATCGTGCCATCTCCACATCTTACCTTCACATGATTTGTTTACCATGCTTCTGGTGCTTGCGCACTTTGCTCAGCTCTGATTTTAGGTTTGGTTTTCAATTTTCGCTCTATTTTTGTTTCTTCTGTTTTCAATACTATTACTACCACTTCACTCATTCTACTGATCTGATTATTGGTTGGTTTAGCTCCCGCTCTTACTGCTGTGATGCCTCCATTCCCTTCTTTTTTCTTTCTTCTCTCCCTTCCATGGCCCTCTAAGGCACCCTCCCCCATTTTCACCGCAATATAACACGACATGATACAACCACACTATACCACAGTACACTAATTCACCCTCCTCAAAATCCCGCCTTTAATCCTCAACCACTCCATCCAGAATCCTCCGCCCAGTATCCTTCACCCAGTATCAAGAATCCAAACCCCCAAGTCACCTTCTCGACAGCAGCCATAAGCCCCAATCAACCAATATCACTTTCCAACCCTGTCGGAGAATGCTTCCTCTCCTCCTTCCCTCCGTCCTTCCCCCCCCATCCCTTTCCCTCTCCCTACCAGCTAACCCCAACCCCAATCCCAATCCCAATCCAACACCGCCTTTTAATTCACCACCTCTTCCCCACGTCGTCCACATCCACCCACCTAGAAACCAGGACTTAAATCAAACTCGCTAGCTGTATACGTCCATATATATGTGCCACATCATCCAAATATGTACATCAAGTATATACATATCCATATCCACATCCCGATACCAATGCCAGAAATCCCTGACTTATCAGTAAGCTTAGCTGTCATCCAAACTCCTCCTCCTCCTCCTCCGCCGCCGCCGCCGCCGCCGCCTCCCACAAGCCACGAGCTGCGAGTATCTACAAGTTAGTTCCATAATCGCCTACTTGCGGCCGGGTTTTGCAACTTCCAACTTCCAACTTCCAACTGGCAACTTCCCATTTCCCTTTTCCAAATTTTCTCTCTTCTCCTCTCTTCCGCTTCTATTTTGCTAGCTTGCATTCTATTGCGTTCTCTAGCTCTTAAGTAAACCCTCCGCTGACTTTCTTTCCTATCTCCAAGCCCTACCTCCTCTTTCCCCCCTCCCTTTATCTTCAAGAGAGTCTCTCACTCGTGATTGCACCCGTAGGTTAGTTCGTGATCAGTAAGGGTATTTTCCCTTTCTTTCTTTCTTTCTTTCTTTCCCTTCTATTTCTTCTTTCGCATTTCCTGGTTCCTGCTTCCCCTTTCCAACTGTCCACATCCAGTTCCAATCCCTTTCTCTGAGAAGAAAAAGAAAGAAAGAAAAAGGGGGGGAAAAAGAAAGAAGGGAAAAAGAAGGGGAAAAGAAGGGAAAAAGAAGGGAAAAAGAAGGAGATCAGATACAATTAGATCCCACGTATGGGCCCGGCCGCGAGGAAGTAAACACGTACTGTACGCACTATACCATATAGCAAAGATTCCTCCTCTACATACATGCATACATGCATACATATATACATAAATGCTCCGACGCTTTCCTCCCACCACCTGCTATAACAATCATCGAATTCCCTCAGTGTATCCGCATCTTCATTGGTACTTAGTTGCGGTCTCAGCAGCAGGCACTCTCCCCTCTCGATTCTTTTTAAGATACGATGACGGTGAAAGGTTGAGAGGAGGGGGGGAGAGGAAGTTAGATGAGACTGAGGAGACTCTGTTTTCCCCTTTATATATATATATATATGTATGTACTTCCGATAGCAAGTCTAGATCCCAGAAAGAGAGAGAGAGAGAGAGATACATAAAGCACATAACAAAATACAAGAAGTCTCTATCCTCATACAATATGTGAGAAGTCCTTCTTCTCATCCTATATCCTATATCCTACACCTCATCCCCTGCCTCAGCTCCGCACGACACATCCCCTACAGGCTCCCTGCGATACGAACAACGCACGGCAGCTCCAAGTTCCAGCACCACGACGCCAACCCGAGATGCGCGCCTGGTGCGGCAAGGGCGAGTCCTTTTCCCACGCTGCGCCTTCGACCAACTCTCCTCGACGACGCTTCTTCTCTCAGCTCAAAGGTGTGCGATCACGGACTCGCTCCACCCGAGTATCGATCCTCGAAGCTGAGAGCTTCTTTCACGACTCTTCTCCGCAAGCAAAGCGACCGGCGTCTCAAGCCCTTTTTTGGGAGGGGGACTACTACGGGGTTTTCCCTTCAAGCGTTGTTGCCATTCGCCAAGTGCTTGCTTGCATGCGCACCTTT